GTGTATTTATAAAACTCTTCATTTACCATATTCCATTATTATATCACTAGCTAAAGACACTGCTTCCTTTGATTTCATTAGAATGCTTGTCAGAGTACATAACTTGCTATGATCTTCAGCTACAGCACTTAATATTAGTAACATTGGATCTCCTACCAATGAACAACCGCAACTCTTCACTTTTGTTAATGTATCCTTAGATATTAATCCCTCTGTATGTAAGAGATCAACTGATTCCTCAGTAAGAACAACTTGAGCTAGTCTACCAATATAACACTGTAATATCTCACTAACAGGATCTGCCACTAAATAAAAATATAAACAAAGTAAAACAATAATAAAATATTTATTATTACTTGTTTTGCGAATATCAGTAGAAATGGATGTTGCATTCATTCCACGGAGTGCATTAGCCAGTGTCTTCCAGATAATAGGACCAACAGTGGTGACATTATCATCAGCTTTAGTCAACCACTTGGTTAAACACTCCATCAGGCAGCGTGAAGGATTCCCTCTATGAGCTGACTCAATAGCTTCCAGTGTAGGATGAAGCAGACCAAGATTCAATCCAAACTCAAACCATCTTGCTTCAGGAAACTTGTAATGCCTCAAGACTTGTAAGACAAAGTTTAACTTGCTAATATCTGTTCACAAAATATGTATATCAGTGTATTATAAATAATCTGACTCACCTAATGGGAAATTTGATGGTTTTGAAGCCATTTGAAGCTAGTTTAAGTATTGTATACAAGGTAAAAGGAGAGGTAAAGGTAAGACAAGACGTAAAAACAGAGTACAGGAAATTCCAAACAACAGGGAGGGGCTGGTATAATCACTCCCGTAGCCACACCTTAAAAGATGGAGGACAATAGAAATGCTGTCATTCACTCAAATCTTCCTCTTCTGAGGGAAGAGGTTCATCAGATCATTCCTCTTCTCCTGGAATTTATTTCCTTCTCCACCACACCCACTGCCGTATTTACTCTTCTGACGTAGTTCATTCTCACCTCGAGAAGTCTATTACGTATCTTTATATGGAGGTACAGAGGTAATCATTTATTGCTATTATTAAGTAAATAGCAGGGGCGTATCTAGGAATTGGAGA